GAGGGGGAGGGGGAGGGTTTGATTTTTAACGCAAAGTTTGAGAGTGTAAATAATTTTCACCCATTTATGTAAGTGCAAAATTTTTCTCCCAAGAATAAATATGAAAGAATCATTTTTCACCCAAAAAACCCTTTTTCCACTAAGAAAAATAATTTTAATTATGGTAATAATCACGGCAAACGTCCTTAACAAAACATTATGGAATAATTAGATTAAGAAAAGGCCAATTACCCAAATAGCCTCTTAAATTTGGCATGATTTGTCGGTTACGTACTTCAACTTTAACAAAAATGTCTTTCATTAGCGTATATACAATTAGTCATATAAATTAAATATGACTAGTGGTCAATAAATTAAATATAAAATTATAAGATTTCAGATTTAAATTTCAATGGAATCAAAAACACTTATGATTTATTTCTATTTACCTAAGCCTTGATTCGGTATCTGTATTGGTGAAAAATAACAAATATTTCGTGGAATTAATCGAGATATTAATAAGAGATAGCATATATCCCATAAAATTAGTCAGACATACTGATTTTGAGATCACGATTGTAACAAAGAATAATTGAACGAAGTTTCACAAAAAAAAAAAAAAAAAAAAAAGGAATAAGAGAAAATGGAGAGAGAGAGAGAGAGAGGAGGTGAGAAAGAGAGAAATAGAGTGTGTAGGCGACTTAAATGTGTGTAAGGTGTAACAAATGGAATACAAGGACAGGAAAAAGGAAAGGTCACATCAGTGACACAAGACAAGTCTAGAAAATACCCTCTTAACATATTTTTTATTTCTGAAAATCCCTTCCTCTTTCTTTTCCCTACTAAACCCTAAAACCAAAAGAATATGAAGATCCCTCCAAAAAACTTCTTCTGACTCCCCTATATCCCCATACCCCAATAATAATAATAATCACAAGTCATAACTCTCTCTTTTTACATTTTTTGCTTTCTCTCCGTCTCCTTAGCCTCTTCTCTTGGGCGACTTTCTGTGTTTTTTCCCCTTTGCTCACTTCATTCAACAAAGAAAAAAGCTAAAAACTTCAAGAAACTCTTCCCCTTTTCTTGCACTTAACCTTATATTATCACCATCTTTATATGCTTTTCTTGATATGGAAGCTTAAAGATTGCCCAATTTTAATATTTTCTACTTACTATTACTATATACTTTCCATTCAAAGAAAACTCTTATATTCTGCATGATTTATATATCAATATTCTTGTTCATATACTCCTTTGTTCTTACTACCTAATAGGGTTTAAAGAAAATTATGTCATTCCAATTTGGTCATTAGTAAAAAGTCTCGTTTTAAATCGCATGTGTACTCGTACCTTCTAGCTTGTTTTGACGTGTTGCGAAAAATATTGTTGGTATTTCATACCCTCGATTTTTAGCTAGTTTTTTTTTTTTTTGTTGGTTGCTTTATATTCCTAGTTACTACTTTTCTGTCCCTTTCTTCATATACAGATAAGAGAAGAAGATTTTCTTGAAGATCATCAGTCAGAAAGATAGCAAACTGTTTTTAGCAAAAGGAAAAAAGGGTAATCATTTCATCTATATATATATATATACACACTCTAGTAGTAGTAGTAGTGAGTATTCTTTTCTAGTTTTCTGGTTTTTGAAAAAGAAAGCTTTTGTTACACAAGATCCAAGCTTGACTTTTAGCCATCTTTTCACAATAATCGAGCCAGATATATAAACACTACGTGCTGAAAAGTAAAGAATGGTTTGACCGAATAGTGGCACGCAAACTTTCAAAATAATAGACTTAGGAGGTATTACTATTTTAATTTCCTTTTCTTTTTAATTAGTTAGTCCATTTTTTCCACTAAGTTTTTGTGTACTTTATTTTCTCAATATATAAACTTCCATGTCTTAATTTTCTCTTACCCACAAGCATGGGAAGAGCTAGGGGCAAAGAAATCTCTTCTTCGGAAAATTACACTTAGGTCAAATTAGTTTTTACGTATATATATAGTAGATGTTGAATTCGACTTACTTCTTAAAATATATTTTTTTATATATTTTGAATCTTGCCGAGTAATTACTAGAAACAGTCTCTCGACCTGCATAAGATATGGGTAAGGTTACGTATACATTATTCTCTCCAAAATTCTATTTGTGGGATTAAACTGAATTTGTTGTTATTGTTTTATATGATAAATTTTGTTAGTGAAAATCCAGCACGCAAAATGTTAATGAATGAATACCAAGTAAGATCTGAGTAGGAGACTAAAATTATGACATTGTAATGAGTGAGATAATATATTATTACTCCATACTTAACAAAGACAAAGCTCTTACTTTCACACTTAATTACACGAGATCCAATCCCAAAATAACCCCCCCC